CTATACTTTCAGTTATTCTGCTTCTGTCAAAATATCAAATGATGTGGCATCGAATATGCAGTATTTCTGTCTCTTTTTACAAGCAATTTTCTCAGACTGTGACACCACACATTTTTAGCATGTGGCTTGAATAATTCAGCACTCCTTTGTGTTATCAAAGTGAATGAAACATAAGTGAAATTGATGAGACTGTTACTGTCCAAGTCCCAGAAGACTATTCATATTGTATTCATATAACAAAAGTGTCAGCTAGCATTGCAGGGCATTGGTTACAAATAAATTATCAATCTTCCTTCTGTGCTTCGGAAACATTAAACTGTCCACAGATCTTACAGTTTCTCAAACAAATGTTGATGAATGTGGCTAGCAACAGAAAGAGTTTTGATGATTTTGACAATAAGTCCTTATTTGTATACTGATGGAAAGGTGGAACAGAATTATTTATTTGTATTTATTATATATATATTATATAATTATTGATTTTGCTGGAATGTTGGAGGACTAGGAGGGGACAAACTTATAGGTAATGATATAATTAACAACGGATTTTATGTGCAAACAAAAAGTGATAGTCCGCTATGAAGGAAACGTATGATATGTATTAACTAAGTATGGAGTCTGCAAAACTGCACAAGAAATGTTCCTGAGTTTTCCTGAGCTGTTGCTGCAACCAATAATATATGCTTCTTTGTTTAACTGAAGCTGCAAACCCAGCAGCTCCAATTAACTCTGTGTAATCCTTTTTTTCTTTTCTAATAAAAGAAATCCTGTACCTCTGTTGCTTTTTTTTTTGTATATCTTCCTTTTCTTTTAATTTCCAGATGAAAGTAGCAGATGGCTGCTCATTATATGCCTGAATATGCTGCAGGTGTTACCCTGTTAAAAGGGAGTCATTCCTTCTTTTTTTGTTTTCTCACAATGAGAGAATGAACAAAGGATTTGGCATTCCTCAGATATTTCACTTTTTACCAGTTGAAATGGTGGGGTCAGTTATATATGACTAAAGCATATCTGAAATTAAATGATATTATATGTAATTTACTCTGATTTTGTCCATATACCAGGATTTTATAATAGAAAATGGACAGATTTAATAAAACTATTCTTTAAAACTGGATATAAATCTGGTGTATTTTTCTTGCAAAGTGCATTGATATATTTGTTGTAAATTGACAGAAAAAAAAACAAACAAAACTTAATCACACAAAACTTAAACTTAATAATGAAATTAATTTCATTAGTCTAACTGTGTTTTTTTTTTTTAAATGACTATCAGGTTTACAAGACTTTTTTCTTCAAATTTAAGTTTAAGAGATTTATTCTTTTTAGCAGATATCAGGTACTTTCAAGATAAAATGAAAGATGTAATTGTGTTGCCCACAGTAATGTTTGCAAACTTAAAGCATCACAAATATGTATCTAATTTTTAATATAAAATCTTGTTTACAATAAAATTCAAAGATATCTCATATCTTTTGTCCTATTTTCCACCTCACTCAATTGACTGTGGCTGTAAGGTGTCTAATTTCAGTGCTTGGTTGAAAATTATAAACTGTTATATAATATCATGTCAATAGGTGGCAGCAAAATGCACAACTC